GTTTACAAAGGTTTTATTAAGTGCTCTTTAAAGCCATATATATTGTGCAGATGATTTCAAAACCCCCACCATGCAGCTGGCTGTCCTCATCCTGCGGGACCTGCTGGGTTACTCCTGCCAGCTGCCCGAACTGGCCCGGGAGATCAGCACCAACCACATTCCCGGACTCCTCACCTCTTTGCTGGCTCTCAAGCCCGAGGTGAGACTCCCTCTCCCCTGCCTGACCCCCGTGCTCCTCTTTGGGGACCCTTTGGGAGGGTGTGAGGGGGGGCAGCATCTTCTCTGTCCTCCCTCGCTCCCAAAGAGTCTGTTCTGGCTGCTCACCTCTTTCTCTACCCCACCCCCTTTCACTCCACACAGTGCCAACTTTCTGCCCTGGAAGGAAGCAAGGCGTGCATGATGTTTTATCCCCGGGCGTGTGGCTCCTTGCGAGTAAGTGCTCTGGGCTTGGACTCTGGGCTATGAGTACGTATATCTGTTGGCTCCCGGATTCTCGCCCACCTCCCCCTCTTCCTCTCTCACTGCAGGGCAGGCTGGCTGCCTACTTCTTGGCCTGTCTGGAGGCAGAGACCCCCCAGCTGCAACAGGTAAGGCCCACTCCTTGGGCAGAAATGGGGTTATGTTTATATGGGGAGGAGGTTTTTTTTAGGGGTGTTGTAACTTTTTATACCTCATGATCTGGTAACTTATTTCTCATTTTTTCCTCCATTATTGCACTTAGTAGTTGGGGTTTATTTTGTTTAAGGAGTTGTAGGATTCCTTGACTAATGGCACGCCCCATCCTCAGGACTGACCTTCTTGCCTGGCTGCACACAGGGCACCAAGAGGCATCCTTTGTCCTCGTGAGAGAGGAATAGGCAAGGGAGGGAGGCCGGCTCGGCTGTTTTTGCTCCTCTCTCCCAAAAAACAGAAACAAAACAGACCCCGTCTGCTTCAGCCAGTGAGGCATGCTGGCTGGCTTGCTAGCGCATCAGGCTCCATGCTGTGAGATTTTGTGCCTGTGGGGCAGGCGTGGGGCTTGTCTGTGACCCCTTTTTCTTCATCCCCCTCCCAGCTGGCCTGCGAGTGCTATGCCCTCCTCCCCTCGCTGGGTGCCGGGTTCACCCAAGGGCTCAAGTACAAGGAGTGCTGGGAGCACCAGGCCCACTGCCTCTTGGCCACGCTGCACAGCCTGCTGGGGACGCTCTACGAGGGGGCCGAGACAGGTACGTGGGGTGGCTGGTGGGGAGGGGTGGGGACCCCTCAGATGGAAGGGTGCCTTCCGGCAAGCCAAGGGAGGCATGGGGCTCGTAGCAGGGAGGGGGTCCAACAGGCTGAGAGACACAGAGGTTTCCTGGGCTCCCTGCCAGCCTCCAGGGCCACGGAAGCCGTTCAGGTGCAATGCTCAGTTGCCCCAGTGGGCCACCTCCATCAGGGCAGGGGCTCAAGAGCAGGTCTCTCTTCCGTTCATGCTCCTCTGTATCCGGAACATGGAGCTGCGATGCTTCCAGCGTTGGAGGTGAGGACAGAGAGTCCCAAGGGTCAGCAGCTACTGGGAGCTCAACTGCCTCCGCGTTTCTCGGTTGTCGAGGCCACGTCTCCTCGTTTTCTTTGCCCCTTCTTAAGCAGGAAGCAAGACAAAGCGCAAGGAGACAGAGCTGATTATTCCTCCCCCTAACGCTTCCGTTGCTTCCAGATCCCCTGCATTACGAAGGGCCTGGCATGGAGATCCTCCTGCCGGCACCGGAAGACGGGGAGAGCAGCTTCCTCCTTCAGCTGAAACATCGTTTCTCGGCCTTGATGAAATGTCTCTGCAAGATGCTAAGGTTGAGACCCTCTCCCCCCGGGGGGCTTTCTGCTCCCCTCCCCCCTTGTGCGCCATGTTGGGTGAGCCTCGTCATCCCCAAATGTGCTCCCTTCCTTCCTGTCACAGCGATGAGTTTGTGGCTCCGGTGACCGTCCCGGTTCAAGATGTGCTGGACCTCGTCTGCCGGAGCCTTGACATCTCGGCCAAGAGCATTGTGAGTAGCAGAAGGAGGCACCCTCGGGGGTTGGGGTTGGCGCTGGCCTCCTCCACAGGGGTGGCTGCGGGTGGGGAAGACGCTGCTGGGTAGAAGGCAGCGGACACAAGCCGACGCACTCTCCAGGTGGGCGCCAGTCACTGCTCCTGTCGGACGGCTGCTCTCCTCTGAGCCCCGCAGTCGCTGGCGGCCGGCGGCTTTGTCTGCTTCTCAAAGGTGGGGTGTGTGATGCCTGTGCTGAGGTGAGAGAGGGAGCGCTCAGCTCTTTGCTCTTTGTCCATCCCACCCACCCTGCCCTGCAGACAGCTACGGCATGCTGTCACAAAAGCCCCAAGGGCGTCACTAGAGGGTCAATTAAGAAAATTAACACTAAGCAATTAAGAAAACCACACTTAGCAATAAGACGGCTGGTCTGGCTTTTAGAAAGGAAAGGTGACCTGAGGCAGAGTGATGGGTTCAGGGTTGCCGGAAGGGGAGGGTCTTTGGCCGGTGTCCAGCTGTCAGCCAGAAGAGGCCTCCGTGGGGGTGGCCACCTTTCCCTGACTGACCTTTCAGCTGCCCCCCCCCCTCCCCAGAGCTGGTTCGGTGACGGGCCTCTGCGGATGCTGCTGCTGCCTGCCATCCATCTGGAGAGCCTGGACCTCCTTGCTGCTCTCCTCTTGGCGTAAGTGTGGGGATGGGTGGGTGGGTGGGGGGTCCTGCAGGGTGGGATCAGCCCTCCTCCCTGGTAACACACATCTCTCCCTCCCTTTGCAGATGTGGCCCACGTCTGGTGAGGTTTGGGGGCACCCTCTGCCGCCTGTTTCCTCAGGTCTTGACTATGTGGAGCTCCAGCCGAGACCTCTTCCCGCCCGGGCAGGAGCGCCCGTACAGGTTGGTGCTGTGCCTGTGCACGCTTGGTGAGCCTCTTAAGCACCTCCTCATTACCCTCGGGAGAAGAAGCCTTGTCCTGGCCTCTGAAATGGTTTCCAGTGGGCGCGGCCTTGACTGGGTGGCCGTCTCGCCCGTGGTCTGTCTGCTCCTCAGATGGAGTCAGCTCACGGGCCACCCCCTCTTGTCTGCTCTGCCTGTCCCTCAAAATCTTCTTACTTCATTTGGAGGGGCTTCTCCAGGGGGGAGCCTGAAGCCAGAAGCTCAGTAATGCCAGGAAGAAGCAAAGGTGCTTGTGTGGTTCGAAAGAGGTTTACTGGTCTTCAAGGGCCTACACGGATCGGGGGTTCCCAACCTTGGGTCACCCTGGTGTTCTTGGACAGCAGCTGGTGGTGAATTGCAGCCCAAGAACACGTGGGTTACTTAAGGCTGGGAGCCAGTGCTGTAGGACGAGCAAAGCCAAAGCAAGCTAGTGAGGACCCTCAAGGCCTGCCTTCCTGTCTGGACTCAAGTTCCCTGGGGGGAGGGGGGGCACAATGAAAAGTCCTGCACAAAGAGCAGTACTACAAGCAAGAAGAACCTGGGAATCGTTGTAGGTCACAAGCGGAATATGAACCAACGTTGCAACGTGGTTACAAAAAAAGGTCAATATTTTTTTAGGATGCATTCAAAGAAGTATAGTCTCCAAATCCGGCAAGGTGCTCGTCGCCCTCTATTCGATACTGGTTAGGCCTCATCTTGGCTCCTATGTTCAATTCTGGATACCCCACTTCAAGAAGGATGCTGTCCAATTGGAACAAGTTCATAGGAGGGCAACAAGGGGACTGGAAACCAAGCCCTAGGAGAACAGATAGAAAGAACTCGATATATTTAGCCTTGAGAAAAGAAGACTGAAGGGAGATACAGTAGTTTGTTTATTGCCTTATTGAATGATAAATGTTTATTGTATGTTTTTATCATTGTAAGTATATTGTGGTTGTATTTTAATTGTTTTTGGCTACTGGAATGCATTCTGGTGTAGCGCTCAATATAAGTTGTTGTTATTATTATTATTATTATTATTATTATTAGGGAGGATAGTGCTCTTTGAATACTTGAAAGGTAACCTTACTGAGGAGGGGCAGGATCTATTCACTGCCATCTCATAGTGCAGAACAGCTAAAAATGGACTCCTAACTGTTAGAGCAGTGTGACAGTGAAACCAGTTATCTCAGGAAGAGCTGAGGGTTCCAACCCTGGAGGCCTTGAAGAGGAACTTGGGCAACCACCTGTCCGATCTGCTTTGCTCTGGATTCCTGCCTTGAGCAGGGGGTTGGACTGGATGGCCTTATGGGGCCCCTTCCCACTCCATGACTGTATAACGCCTCCCCCCCCCCCGGCCGGGTGACAGCAGAGGCAGGGGTGCCGTCTGCTCCCTTGGGGAGCTTTGAGGAACGGACAGGGATGGGGAACGATAGTCGCCCTCACCTTGGGAGGCCAAGTAGGGCCAGGTTCCCCGTGAGCCCGGTCATCTCGGCGTCATCGCGGTGAGACCCGCTGCTCTCAGGGCGGTGATTCCGTCGGGTGTCCCTTGTTGTCGTGGCTTCTGGTGGGAGGGCCCCTGTGTTGCTCCTTCAGAGAAACAGTCCCCGAAGTGCTCCCTTTGGGGCCTTCTGTGGTGGGTCGGGTAGCGTTTGTGTGCGTGGGTGTGTGTATGTTGGGTGACGGCAGGGGAGTCTCTTTCCAGATCAGATGTTGGGAAAGAGGCCTGAATGGAGGCAGGTCGCAGGCAGGCACAAACCTGAGAGCTGCTCCCGTCTGTCTGTCTGTCCGTCTGTCTATCCCTCCCTCCCTCCCTTCGCCAGTGCCATCCGGACGCGGCTTTACCAGGTCCTGGATCTGTGGATTCAAGTTGCTGGGGCGGCGTCCGGCATCCTGCAGGGGCCCGGGACCCAGACCGAAGCCCTGCTGGGCCACCTGATCAGCGACATCAGCCCCCCCAGTGACACACTCAAGGTGAGGCCCCTTTCCCCCTCCCCTCCACTGCACGCTTTTCGGGATTGCTGTTCCCCTGTGGAGGGGGCCCTGGTGAACAATCACCCGTCCGCCCCCCCCTTTTCTCCTGCAGATCCGTGAAGGCTGCTCTGGCTCCGAGGGGAAGCCCAGTGCCCCCAAGAAGCCCAGGCTGTCGGATGTGGGGGGCTCGGGCTCCCTCTCCCACAAGCACGACCCTCGAGCCAACAGCAGTGTGTGCCTGGCTGCCTTGCAAGGTGAGATGGCGCGGGAGGCTTTCCTCCGGGTGAGCCTTGGGCTGGGATGACGAGGCCGCTGGAGCGCTGAGCGCTCGGCCCAGCACCCTCTTCTGCGCAGGGAGGGTGGAATGTTGGGCTTGGCGGTGCCTGGAGGGAGGAGGGCCGGGCAGGTGGGGGGCCCTTGCCCCCTCCGCCCTGAGGGCATCCCTTGCCACACTGGGTGTAGTAGGACAGATTGGGCGAGGAGGGGAATCACAGACACACACGTGTGTGTGTGTGTGTGTGTGTTTGTTTGTTTGTTCCTAGACGCCGGGGCCACGAGCCAGCGGCTGGCAGAGGGGTGGGGGATATCCGAGCATAAAACTCTACTTCCTGGGTCGCTTGGAAGGGACAACGTGCTCCTGTAACAGGCTAAAGACCCACAAAGGCCCCTCTGTGTGGGATGACAATCAGGGTGTGCTGTCGGAGGGGGGAGAGGTAGCAATTTCACACACGTGTGTGTGTGTGTGCCTGTCCCCGTCCTGTAGTACTACCTTCCCTTCCCTGCCCTTCTGGTTCCAGAGGGTTTCAGTCAAAAATATATAGGAGGGGAGAGGGAGAGGATGTAAGTCTTTGAAGTCTCCCCCCATAACCAGGTGCTCTTGTGTGTGTGTGCGTGTGTGTGTGTGTGTGTGTCCGGCTGCCCCCTCTAGGTCTGAGCCGTGCTGTGCTCCTCACAGGCAGCCTGATCAAGGAACAAACCCACAAGGTGAGCAGACCTGTATATTCCCTCCCCCCCACTTGGGTGAGTATAGGTAGGACAGAAACAGGTTTGGGGTGCTGGGGAGGGGGCTCCCCCTAATGTAGAGGGAGGCTTGAAAGCTAACGCAGCACCCCAAAAACTGGGCCCAGTGGTTGAATCCTGAAGCAAGGTAGTGGTGGGTGTTGGAAGAGTGCAGGAGTGGGAAGGGCCCAGCTTCAAGAGGCATGCGCTCTGCGAGAGGCACCCCCCTTCCCCGGGCCCCCTCCCAGGCCCAATGCTCTTGGGTTCTCTCGTGCTCTATCCTGCTTTGGGGGCGACAAGCCTTTCCTTTCCTATTCTTTGGGGAAAGGCGGTGGGGTGGAGGAGGGAGGACCACACCGTTCTCTGCCGAGGGCGAGGCAGGGGTGGGTGGAGAGCAGCCCGAGGGATGAGCAGCCAGGCCTCTCTCCGCAGGACGAGCCCTGTGGCCCTGGGCTGAGCGGGCACAGCTTGGCCTGGGAGGCCCTTTGGAACCCGTGCCACGTGGCCGGCCCCCTGCTTTCCCCTTGCGGCGCTTCGTGAGCTCAGGGGGCCTGTAGGAGAAATGCTGGAGCCCCCTGCCCACCCGGTGGGCTGCGCTCCCCTCTGGCTGCCAGTGGGGGCTCCTCTAAGGGCTCACCCCCCTCCCCTTCTGATCCACCCTTGTGGGATTCCGTCTCACCCTCAGAGGCTGCAAGAACTGGCCGTCCTCCTGCTGGTCCGCCTGAGCCAGGCCGAGCCCCACCCGGGGTCTCCCTACGCCAGCGCCGACTGCCGCCGGGAGCTGTACCGCCTGCTGCTGGCCTTGGTGTTGGCGCCCTCCCCGTCGTGCCCCCCGCCTCTACACTGTGCCCTGCGCCTGCTCGGCCAAGGGCGCCTGGATCTCAACCTCCAGGTGAGGAGTCGTCCTCTTCTTCTTCTGGCGGGGGAGGGGCCCTGCTTCGCCGCTGCGTTCTCCTCCCATTTTAGCCCCCCCCGCCACCGCCACTGAGGTTGGGACCCCACGGAGGAGGGCTGGAGACATCCCGCTCGTCCCCCTTTGGGTTCTCCAGATTCCTGCTGTCCTAGGATCCCAGAATCAGGGAGTGGGAAAAGGGCCTCCGAGGCCATCCAGTCCAGCCCCTTGCTCGGTTCAGGAACGCAAACCAGAGAATTCCTGAAAGGGTTTTTTTTTCCCCCCTTCCGGGCAGGTCTCCTCCTTTTGCGCAGAGGCTCTGGTGGTCTGCAGCGCCCTCCTCCACCCCCGGG